TGAAGTAAAGACCAATTTAAAAAAATCAAATAAATATATGCAAGTCTGCTGCTGTCAGTAAAAACAACTAATCAGGGATATTTGTGCATAGTTTCCCCTGCGGGGGAATCAGTACAGGTGCATATTATCTTATTAATCTTATCATATCAAACGAAGGAGATGTTTTCAATTAGCTTGTAAGACTGGGAACTGCGCCGAAAGGCAAAGATGTAAATATAAATATAGAGTGTAGTGAGAGAGCGACTTATTGTTTTCAGCTTCAAAACATGAACACAACGGTCTGAGCAGATACGCAGCAGCTCCGGACACAGGCTGAAGAGGGAAGGATGCAGAAGTGCTGCTCAACATAAACAGTGACAAACACAAACACTGCATGCAAAATATAAGGATGAGGTAAAAAAAAAGACTCGTACTTCAATACACAGGCCTTCTTTCAATTAATCTGTTCATTGCACCGTTCTGCATGTTAATTCTGTGAGGCTGCAGAGGGAGAGGGGAGTGAGGAGAAGGCTTGAGATGCTTCTGTTGGGTTTCCCTCCCACACTGGAATCCATAAAGGATTCTGGTTTCTATTTGGAGCTGTTGCAAGATTGCTGGTATTATGAAGAAGTGACCTGATTTGATTTATATCTCATTAATCTCCCTCCCTCTCTCCTTCCCTCCCTCTCTCTCTCTCTCTCTCTCTCTCTCTCTCAAGAATAGCAAAAATTACGAACCAACCTTCCTCTGTCACACGTCTCTCACTGTACAATCTCCTCAATCATCATCCTTCTCCCTACATGCCACACAGAAAGCCAAAGCCTCTGTCAGTCACTCTTCAGTAACAAAAGTTTATAATCAGCAGGCACTCAAGCATTAACTGAAGGAAGCAAGTCGAGTCCCCTCCCCCTCCTCACCTCTCAAGTGAAGCTCTCGATGTGTGTGTGAAAGCTGCAGACGGGAAATGTTTGATGACCCCGGAAAGAGAGCAGAAGATAATAGGCAGCAGCTACATCAGACCTATTTTAGAGGACTTTAGCCCAACTAGAATTTCTTGTAGTCCTGCTGAATAATTCATTTGGCTTTTCTGCCTGATTTATAATGCAAAAATACGATGCAGGCTGGAGAAATTACAGCACCCATGAAGAGGGCTGAGACAAGAACCCGGTGGAAATTGTTGTGAATCACACTGTGTGCACTGGTGAAACCAGCTACAGACTTACTGTGCACTCAACCATAAAAAAGACTGGTTGGATGAAACATGAGGCCGATACATACTGAATGTCTTATTTAAAATATACCAGTTGTGAAATGAAAGTGGGGTTAATCAGCTCAGTCAGGGTCAGATGGTTATTTCACAGGTTCCTCTTCATGCAGATACTCTTTAGACACACAGCTGACTGACTTTA